TTAAATGCTTATTACTTCCTCAATATGAAATTGAATAAAGAGGAAATAATCATTTATGGAGTCTCTAGCCCTTTATGTGAACTTTGAAAAGGTCTTCTATTTTAATTTACCTAAGTGGGTATTCTTGTATACGAGTAACAAAGAAAAAGGAGGCTCTTTTCACAAAGAGATAGGACAATATTTTGGCATTTGTGACGGAACCATGGTTAAACATCAGAACTGAATGATTTTCTGATCTTAATGGCAACCCACTCCAGTATTCTTGCCTGGAAAAGCCCATGGATGGAGGAACCTGGTAGGCTACAGTCCATGGGGTTGCAAAGAGTCGGACATGACTGAGCGACTTCACTTCACTTTCATATGTGTCTTCTTTTCTCTGTGACTCAATTTCTCTATTGGGTAAGGACAGAAATAAACTAAATGACATCTGAACTTTTTTGACCTCTGAAATTCTGTTCTTTCTTAAGCCTTTTGTCTGTTTTCCCTCAAAATCTTATAGTTGGCCACTGATTGTAGACCTTGTATGATCACGTCAGAATAATTGCCCATACGGCCAGAATCATCCCTGTGATTTTGTAGAGTGAAAGATAGGCTTTGGTCTCCCCAGTCACTGAGTACTGGAGAGAGAGCCCGACACCCCTTAGATCTAGAGGAACCGGCAGGCGCTGCGAGAGCTTGTGGGCTTTCTTTACCAGGGCTCTCATTTTCTGAGACATGCCTGGATCTGCATTTCAATGGGAAGCTCACAAGCATCCATTAATCAGCCCTCACAGGAGAGTGAGCACAGGGCTCAGACCATCACTCTCTCTCATTAGCACGCATTTCACTATACTCTTCGGATTTCTTTTTATCATTATTCTTTTTGTAAAGGAACGTCAAAGCGCAATTTCTTTATTAATATTGATGTGTTCAAGTTCTTGAAGCCAATTACTTTAGACAGTTAAAGTATTTAACCAATGCTTAGAAATTATCGAGGATGTGAACAGTAGCATCTGTGAGAATGATTGCAAGATGTATGGTGTTGAAGAAACCAACTCAAGAAGTATCACTTGAATTTATATTCTGTGAAGACCCACTAACACTCAGATAGTTCTATTTATCTTTTCAAGATAACGATCAATGAATGGGTTTGTTTTTGTCTTGTGCAGCATCAACTCCAACCCAGCTGTTATGAATGTAATCAATTAGCAAATCCCTCTGATTTCATTTAGTAAATATATCTTGTATCCCCACTAGCTCTCCATCTCTATTATCACTGTCCTCATTCAGCTACTTTTCACCCAACAGTGGTGACAACTTACAACTAGCCTATGTAGCCAGTACTGATAACACCAAGAACTCTCTGCAGCAGACTGAACATGTGGTTACCAGGGTGGAAGGGTGGAGAGAAGGGATTGTTAGGGAGTTTGGGATGGACATGTACACACTGCTCTATTTAAAATGGATAACTAACAAGCACCTACTACATAACACAGAGAGCTCTACTTAACATTATGTGACAGCCTGGATGGGAGGGGAGTTTGGGGGAGAAAGGGTACATATATATCCAAGCTGAGTTGCTCTGTGTGCACCTGAAACTATCACAACATTGTTAATCAATTGCACACCTATATGTATATATATGGATTCTCTAGAATCAAAGCATTTCTAGCTTTCATTCTTCCCTCGCCTAGAGTCCTTCAAATGCTTTCCATTTTTAATGAGGGAAAACCGAATCTTGCCTGTGGTGCTCAGTGACCCCTGGGATTTGCCATGCCTTTTGTTCCTTTCTTATCCTGTCACTGTCTGCCTTTTATTTATTGCTCGGAGAACTTCACTGCTCAAGACAGAATCAAGGAGAGAGATTTGTGTAATCTCATACTTCAGAAATAGAACTCAACTATAAAGGTACATTTCAAGCTGAAAAAACAGCTTGGATTTGTAATAGCAGAACATCTTCAGGCAACAAGAAGAGACATTGTGTTGCCACGAAATAATGACAGAAGTGATGGAAGGTAAAGTTGGAGACATAAGTAGGCGACAGAAGATGAATAGTTTTAGAAGTTATATGAAGGAAGAGATGGAAAGGTAGTATGATCATTGAAATGATTTATTTGGGGGAACATTCCATGCCTATAGTCCAACTCCAAGAGAATTCATGCCATTATCAGGAACCTGCTTGGTATGCCTCGCATCAGACAGGATGTTGGTTGCATCAGGTTCTCAAGATGATGCCCTAAATCTCCATAATACAGAGAGGTCTCAATCAGGACTAGACAATTTACTCCTCAGAAACTCAATGCTTTATCTTTTGACCCCCTCTTTCCCCAGATACGGTGACATAATTTATACTATAGCAGCATTCATCAGACCAATTCAACTAAACTTCCCTCGAAACATCTTAAAATCAGCTGTTTCATGAAGCAGTTTTCCACAGTTTCCCCCTAAAAATGCCCCCTAATATATGTGATCTGATGTTATGTTGAAGTGAGACCCTTTTGCATGCATAATCTTTCCACTCACACTTAAATATGTGGTCCTTGTTGTCTAACAAGGATAAATTCCATCTAATGTTCAAGGGAGGGATGAGATTTAAATATTCTGATAGTTTAAAATGATGCAGTGTAAAATAAGTCTTGAAGAAAATAATAGAGGAGATGTTATCAGACAACTCCTGATGTATTACTGTATGAGTGGCAGTGACAATAACTCCAATAGGATTTGAAGAGGGTCCAAGAAGTCTTTTTTTTTTTCAAGGAAGTCTTTTATAAGGAGGTAGAATTGAAGAAAGGTCTGAAAATATAGGCAGGGTTTGAATGAACAGAGAAGTGGGGGGGGGCTTTTTGGTAGGTGAATCTGTGTGCTGAAATTACCTTTTTAAGCAGATGATAAATTGTATCTAATGTACCATAAGATTCTCTCTCAAACAAATTATGCAGCCAGCCTATATAAATGGGACTTCCCTAGTTGTCAGGGGGGTTCTGCAGACTGAACAAGTGATGGGCAGAAAAGAAGAGACAACAGTGAAAGGCCTTTTTTATTGTTAAACTCAAGGAAGATATCAGGCAGGAAATTTTCAAGGGAAAGATGTCATTAGAATGGGATAAGCTGTTTATGAGGCTACTTGAGACAGTCTTCTCATGTCCCACATACTGTCAGTATTTAGCACATAATTATTGACTAATGGGGCCCAAATTTGAGCAGCACTCTTTAGCTTCATCTGAATGTCTACCTGCTATACTGGATACCAGCCTTAGATGTGTTTCCATTCATTACTTTCACAGACCAGGTTTTATCCCATTTTAAGCATGAAGTAAAGTGAAGTGAAAGTCATTCAGTGATGTCTGACTTTTTGTGACCCCATCGACTATATAGTAGTCCATGGAATTCTCCAGGCCAGAATACTGGAGTGGGTAGCCTTTCCCTTCTCCAGGATATCTTCCCAACCGAGGGATTGAACCCAGGTCTCCTGCATTGCAGGCAAATCCTTTACCAGCTGAACCGCAAGGGAAGCCCAAGAATACTGGAGTGTGTAGCCTACCCCTTCTCCAGCAGATCTTCTCGACTTAGGAATCAAACCTGGGTCTCCTGCATTGCAGGCGGATTCTTTACCAACTGAAATATGAGGGAAGCCCCCTTTTAAGCACAGAGAGATCTAATAAAAGCTATGTCTTTGTAAAGAGATGCTGACTTGAATCCTAGCCTCACCACTTCTCTAAGTTACCTCTATCAATTTCTTTACCACCTCTCTGAATTTCAGTTTCCTCGTCCATAAGACAGAAATAAGAAACCTTGTCTCATCCATCCTACCAGCAACCTTGATAGGTAAGGCAAGGTTCTCAACCATGAATATACATTAAAAATGCCTGGGTAATTTTGGTTTTTTTTTTTTTTAGACTTAGACATGTGTCCCATTTCCAGAGATTCTAACTTAATTGAACTGAATGACTACTGAGCCTCAGTCATTTTTACATTTCCTCCAAGTAGTTCTATTTTGCTGCCAGATATAAAAATGATCGAGATAAAAGTATGTAAAGTAGAGGAACTTCCCTTTTGGTCCAGTGGTTTATTAAGACTTTGCCTTCCAATGCAGGGGTGAGGGTTCAACCCCTGGTCTGTCAGAGAGCTAAGATCTCACATGCCTTGTGGCCAAAAAACCAAAAACAAAGCAAAGCAATATTGTTACAAATTCAATAAAGACCAAAAAAAGTTCAAAGGAAAGTGACTACTGCAATGCTTGCATACAGGATGTTAGTACTTGCTAACTAGCACGCCTTACAATTTTTCAGTTTTAATACAGTGACTGGAAAAAAAAATTTGAAAGATATTTATTTATAAAGAGTTGTATCTTGAACACACAAGCATCACCTACAAATATAAGGCAAGCAATTAAATTAAAAAGTTAAACCATTTAAGTAACTATATGAATAAGAAAAGCAAAATGTGGTAGAAATGAAGGTGAAATTGCATAAACTGAGAAATCCAAATAAAAAATGCTGTGTACTATCTATAAAAAATGCTATATGCTATCTAAGATGGCTAAAATTAAAAGGACCATACTGATGGTTGATAAGAACTGAAACTTACACACTGCATGTTGGAATGTAAACTGATACAATTATTTTGAAGAACATTTTGGCATGAAGAACATTTCTTAAACTGTTAAACATTTCTCTACCATATGATCTGTTTTAGTATAGGTATTTACTTCAAAGAAAGAAAAGTATATGTCCACTTAAAAACTTTAGTATGCAAATGTTGGGAGCTGATCTAGTGTATTTTTTTTGTTGTCCAGTTATAATTTCTTTTTTATATTTAAAAAAATGTTTTCTATGTTTTTATTGAGGTTCTTACTGTGTTCATCCATTTCTCTCCTGAGTTTGGTGAGCATATTTATTGCCATTTTGAACTGCATCACATAGATTGTTCATCTCCTTTTAATTTAGTTCTTTTTCAGAGGTTTTCTCTTGTTCTTTCAATTGAAATATTTTACCGTCTCCACATTTTGCCTCATCCTCTGTGTTTGTCTCTACGTGTTGGGTAAGTCATGTGCATGACTCCTCTCCTAGAGAAGCAGCCTTACTTAGCAGATGTCCGGTGGGGCTCAGAAGTGCACGGGCTGTCCACTGTGGGTGGCACGTCCTTACTTAGCAGATGTCCGGTGGGGCTCAGAAGTGCGCGGGCTGTCCACTGTGGGTGGCACGTGCCCTCCCGTTAGGCAGCGTCCGCTGCTCTGCTCACTGGTGGGCTGGTACCTGAAATGGTGGAGCCTGGCCACAATGACTGTTGTTTGTAGGTGAGTGCGACTGGCCCCTGGAACAGACGTGAGGTCTGGGGTTATCACCCGGTAGCTGTGAGGGCTGGCTGAGATGAAGGGGTGGNGGGGGGGGGGGGGTGCATCCATTAGTGCCAAAAGGTCAGAGGGAGAAATCCAAAATGGCACCAACTTGCGCTGGCGTTAGCAAGGTAGCCTGAGACGGCAAAGGGGGCTCTCGCCAATTTCTTAGTCCCTGGGGAGTATCTCAACTACTTCCTCCCTCCCCAGCAGAGGCTTCAGGATTAGAAAGTGGGTGCCCTTCACATATGATCCATGTACTTTTCCATCTGGTGTCTTGGCACTGGTTTGGGGATTGAATGAATCTGCATGTGAGCTATTTGAGAGCAGGGTTTTTTTGTTCCCAGTTCTATCGTTTTTCTAGACATATCCCCATTGGTTTTCAAAGCCAAGTATTTGAGGGCTCATCTCTTCTGTGCAGGATCTAAGGGTTGGGGTACCTGATGTAGAGCTTGAATCCCTTGCACAAAATACTTTTGTGATCCTTCCTAATAGTGTATCATCACAGTTGGTTTGTTTTTTTTTTTTTTCCTTGTTGAGACCTTATCTCTGTTTCTCCACGGCTAAATGCTGTCCTTGTACTCTTTGTTGTGGAGACTGCTCTTCCAGTTTCCAGGTCCCTGTGGAGGAAATCATCCTATATGTGGTTGTGGATTTGTTGTGTCTGTGGGAGGAGATGAGTTCAGGATTTTTCTATGCTGCTATCTTGAACTCTCCCTAGTCTATGTTGTTTCTATTTTAACCCATCACATCTTATGGTAACTTGTTACACAGCACCAGATGACAGGAAGATATTTTGGTACCTGAAAGTAGGATGCCACAGTACCAACACTAAAACCTGTGATGGGACCTAGATAGTAAATAGGAGCTGAAAGGACCTGCTTTATTTACTGCTTAAGGAAGCAGTAAGTACATAAAGAGACTAGAAAAGACTATTAGTGAAATCCTGAAGGCCTCTGTAAGGCTCTTTTTAAATTTTTTTTTGGCTTCACATGCAGCATACCAGATCTTAGTTCCCCAATCACTGTGCGCCCTGCATTGGGGAACTTAACCTCTAGACTGCCAGGGGAGTCCCTATGAGGCTTGTGTGTGTATTAGTCACTCAGTCGTGTCTGACTCTTTGCGACCCCACAGACGGCAGCCCACCAGGTTCCTCTGCCCATGGAATTCTCCAGGCAAGAGTACTGAAGTAGGTTGCCATGCCCTTCTCCGGAGGATCTTCCTGACCCAGGGATCAAACCTGGCTCTCCTGCGTGGTGGCTTACCTTCTGAGTCACCGGGGAAGCCTCAAAACCGAGTGGAGGATGTGGGCAACAATCCTGCCACCTCTCTCACGCCAAGAGAGGTATAAGGCTTAGGATGGAGCAGGAATCATCCCCTAGACTAAGCTGTATACCAGCTGCAAGGACATGCGCCCATTGGCTCCAATCAGATGGATGATTAGACCTGAATTAGGAGGGCAGGTTTTATTGTATGTTCAGTGCAGAGCCACTAACTAGTTTAAACAATGGGGTGCTGTGGTGTAATTTATACTCTAAAAGTATTACTTTAGCTTTCATATGGAGGATAGATTCCATTAATTCAAAGTGAAATAGATCAGTTAGGAGACTAATGTGATGTTCCAGGTGATGAGCTGTGTGGAGCCTTTGACTGAGGTGGTATTAATGGAGATACAGAGCGGATGGGCTCAGGATACATTTTGGAGGTAGTGAGAGTAGCCAGAAATTGATGATAAAGTAGGTATATAGCAAAGAAAAGTTTCCACTTCTATCTGAGTGAATCTTAAGAAGGTCAAAGGAAATAAGGGGTGTGTAAGTGCTTTATAAATAGCATTTTTAAATGATGATGCCATTTTATGTCCACTGACACATCAAGAACTTGAAGCAGATCTGCTCGACTCTGCATCCGGCTCCCTCCTCTGCAGTGCAGTGCATCTCGTTCAAGAGTCCTAACACATACATGAATGCCTCCTTTATGGATGAACACCGACTATATCTAAATGGTATCTATATTTCCTTTGAATACTGCAAACCGGTATTTGATCAGTTCATTTTCCTACAGAAGATGAAACATTATGATTTTCAATAATCCATAAAGACAGACATTTGTTTCCTTTGTGAAACTGTACCCTTCAATGATTATTCTTCACATTAATCATAGTAAAAGCAACGCTTAAGGTAATCTCTTTCTTCCTGCAGATAATAAATGTCTGCTGTTGACAGAACAAGTGTGGAAAGGTGAATAGCAGGTTGAGCTCTGCGTGTTTGTGAGATAAACAACTGTCAGCCTCTCCAGAGAGTGCTATGAGCTTGTGAGGCCAAAGTTGCCTTTTTAAATAATGGTGACAATAAAACTAATTTTTCTCTGACTGATGATTCAAAAAAATTTTCACTTCAGTTATCTATCCTATAATTTCCATCCAGAAATCTAACTTTATTAACTGCCTATAAATTCGTAGCTCATACTATTAAACATTGATGAAAATACCACCTCAAATTGCATTTATATCTTCTGTCCTTAAAATCATTGGTGGCATTTTGGTTCACTGAAGTGTAAGATAGCCTAATTGTCTCATCACCAGAAATTACCAAGACTTTAACTAAATGAGATATCTTGCATAAGAGTTTAACTAGGATACAAAAGGTATAAAATTAAATTTCAATAACAAAAATAGGTGTTTTCAAGCAACATTCACGGGGATACACTTTGATGGTTATATGACAATGAACTCCTCTTGATATAGCTTGTAAGCCATGAAGAAAACAGGACTGACTTTTATTTAATGTTCATTTTAACACCGTACTTTATGGTTTCCATTGTTTGCATCATTTAATTGTGCTGGAAATTAAGCAAGTTAGGTGTCACTATAAAGCTTCTTAGCAGATTTTTAAAAAAACATTGCTTAGATGGGGGAAATGTAACTCACATAGGCCATGAAAGTTTCTAAAGTTTTTATAAATGTTATCATTATTAAAGGTAAGTATGTTTTCTCTATTGTACCAATCTAGATGATCCAATATATTTTAATGGGCTTTAAGTGATTTTTTAAAGGAGCTTTAACAATTTTAAAAATAATATTTTGTTCAAAGTGCCACACATGTACCACTGAAATTTCTAAATTCTAAAATTTATTTAAAAATTTCTAAAGTTCTATATTTCAAAAACATATATGTACAGTAGTATCCTTTTCTAGTCCTTGCCCTGTCTAGAAAACTCTCACACATTCTAGACCCAGTTCCATGACTCAGACCAAAGTTCATTTCTGGGCTGACTTCCATAACCCCTATGAGTAGAGATTATTGCTGCCCTACCCACACATGCACCCCACCCACATACACACACTCTTCATGTAACAAACTGCATTACATTTAATAATCATAGAACAAGCTATTTATCTTCTCAAGCCCCCTGGAAGATACTTCAGGGAAGTGACCATTTGACGTTTAATATTCAGTGCCTAGTAAGATGTCTGGCACATCACGGTTATTAAATTAATATTTTATTAATTAATTATGCTTAAATAATAGCTATTAATTAAATAATTTATAATTAATTAAGTAAATAATTGGTTCATGCCAAAGTAAAATATTATAGTATTTTTATATCTCTGAAATAAATATATGTATATATGAAGATTTTAGCTGGTGGATAAAGAAGAAAATGCAGGTATAATCAAAGAGGAAATTGTTAATTTCAAAATAAATAACGTAGTCAATAAAAAAGTAGATGCATCCTCAGTTTAATCATACTGTTCATTTTGTGGTCAACATATATGGATGTTTTTAGATGTCTTCTAACATATCTGGAAGTGGAAAAACTGCTATATGCAAATAACATGAATGCATTTTGGTGAATATATATGAGTAAATGGATGGATAAATGTAGAAATTAATTGATAAAATTCTTATATAGAGTGAGATATATAGCTTAGTACTAATCGCTGTGGAAATCAGACTTATTTCCTTTAAGAAATGGAATAATACACAAAGGTCAAGATAGATTAAATACTATTAAACATATAAACATTACTATTGATAGCAATGAGATGGCCATGTTTCTTTTCTGTTATGCAGAATATTAACGTGATGTCCTTCTTAAATTATATATTAATTTAGAAAATTTGAACAGTTAAATGTTTGTATTACTCTAAAGGAAAAATGAGTTTCAGGGAAGACTGAGAGGAATTTAATAATAATGGCTAATCTTTCATTCACCAAAGTTAACACTTTGTAGTAACGACCACTCCATATCATAGATACCTTAGTGCCTTAGTGCTTTAGTGTATGATCTCTGATCTTTAAATGAGGTAACCAGCTTAAGTCATGTATTGTAGCACACTTGGATAAAAAAAGTTTTCAAAGGAATTAAGTGACTTTCTTGTGGCTTTATAGTTTATAAAAGATAGAGGTCTGTGTGCATGTAACCATGAAGAAAATAAAGACAAGTAAAAAAGGATACAAACAAAAGATAGGAAGAGAGGGAGAGAGAAGAATTATGGTATGTTCAGGATCAGAAAACACTTTATATAAGACAGATGTTATGCATGAGATAAATCCTAAAGGATAAGAATAAACCCACCAAGTAAACAAGAATGAGGAGAAAGAATTCAAGAGAGGAAGAGGTCTAAACACATAGTCACAAGGGAGAACTAGGGAATTTCTCAAGCTCTGGTACCTTAAGCAAAAGGTGAGCAGGTTATGCGTAGGGAGTTAGGACCAGTTGCAGAGGGTGTTTTTCACCATGCTAAACTTCACACATGTCACTTTGTTATCCTTGAGGAATCAGAGAAAGGTACTGAGCAAATGATTCTGGTGTTCTAGAAAGGCTGCTCAGATACTCTGGGTAGCCTAGATGGAGAGACGGTAGTGAATTGGGTGATAAAGGGATCCGTTAGGAGGATATTGTAAAAGGCCAGGTGAAAAATTGACAGGAGAAATTAATAACTTTCTTAATAAAGACCTGAACTATGGCAGTACTTGTGGGATAAAAAGAAGACAAATGGGAAATAACTTAGCAGGTAAATTAGACATGAATTAAGAGTCACTTTTATGCTGTTAAGAAAAGGAAGGAGATGGGACTTCCCTGGTGGTCTAGTGGTTAAGAATTCCACTAGCAATGCAGGGGATGCAGGTTTGATTCCTGACCTGAGAACTTAGCTGCCCGGCAACTGAGCCCACACACTCTGGAGTCCATGCCTGTGTCCCACAAGTGATCCTGTGTGTCACAACTGAGACTCAATGTGGCCAAATCAATCAATCAATCAATATTTTAAAAAAGAAAAGGGAGAAGAAAGTTAGCATGTACCCTGAATTTCCATATTAATGGTAGTGGGAACCCTCACTATTAAAAAGAATTAGGCACATATCAGAGGTTAAAGTAACCTGGCATTCTGAACATGTTTACAACTGCATATTCATCTTTTAATTTAAGAATGTGTAAGATATTTCAAACCATTTTGTCAGTGGCGATCAGATATCTCTGATGCTTCGGAAGAGAGGAAAAAAATTGGAAATCTTTCTAGCTCATCAAGTCTTTTATTCTGAAACTTAATCAGTGTTGGCTTTTTAAATTTGATTTTCTAAGTACATTTTTATTCATCTTTATGAATCGATTGAATTATGCACGAGGTGCTTTTTTATTCCTTCCAAATTGTTGTGGTGATTTTGCCACCATTAATTTGTAATCCACTAGCTATCTTTATCATTTTTCCATGATTTAGTCCATCCAACCTTTTAAAACAACCCCGCTCCCATCTATTCCTAAGCCTGCACTCAAGTCCAGATGCTAAATATTTCTCAGTATAAATAAGTGTTGAACAGACAACAGTTTACCAAAGAAGAATTTACAATGAGAGAAAAGAGAAGGAATGAGGAAAGACAAACTATGACCTCTATAATCTCATGAATCAGCTACAAGCAGGAGTTTATACCAGAAGTTTTATCAGAAACTCTTTAACTTTGCCTTATGTTTTTCATTATATATCTACTGATTATCAATGGCTGGGAAATGATACATTTGTGCACAGTTATTTCCTTTGCTTCTTAAATTACTGTATGATAAGTATATTTGGTTGCTCATTCAGAGTTTTGAGTGGGGTTTTACTGCTTCAGGTTTAGTTTGTTTGACTGGCCCCTGTGATCATCATTTGGCTTGCAAGAGGACTCCCTTAGTTGTTGAGCTCTAAGAACTTGATGGGTAGAGATGTCTGAGTTAGTTTGAAATTGTCACGCTCTATGAAACAACCAGGAACACTAATTGCGAATCTAACACATAATAATTCTACTTGTGTAAAATGTACAAAATGTTCCTTACTGCTTTGACATTTTAGTAATCACTTAGTGAAAAAGTCTTGAGCAAATCATACGGGAAGATAGTTATCTTCTGTCCTTAACAAATCTGACTGCTTTGGAAATAATCAACTCATAAATATTTAGCTAATATACACCCAGAGCAATGAATTGTGCAAAATTAAATGCCTCATTGAAACAATTAATTTCAAATGCTATGATTTATTGAGCATACTTTACTGGAAATTTAATAGAAATATGGACTCAAAGTAATTTAAGCAGAGGATGTTTGCACTGTCTTTGATTTCTGGCCAACATATATTCTTTCTTACCCTGCAGGTGAACCTCAAGAAAGCAAACTTCCAGGAAAGCTCTCTAATAGAATCTGTAGGTCAGAGTTTGATGAGAGGAGGCAATGGCCACAGATTGTAAAAAAAAAAAAAAAAAAAACTAAATAAATTAGTAAACAAAATGAAGTAATCCTTTCATATTTCACATACCTCCTGCAGTTATGCTCTCAGGGAAGAATATGCTACTTCAGTAAAAGCTTGTCATCATTAGTCCATTTCAAAAGGATACAGCTCATGCTTCTCAGAGCATCAATAACCAAATATATCCCTGAGGCATCTCTGAAACATTCAGTCCTGCAATTTCCCGTAAGCTGGTTTGTGATTAAGCTTTAAGGAAGTATTTTATACAGCAGTGTAAGGCAGTGTGAACAGTAAGGAAAATTTGGATGGAAAGCTGAAGGGTGAGCATGGAGCAAGGGTAAAAGAGCAGTAGAGGATGATGGAAAGATGCCTGCTTCGTGTCTTGGGTTAACACGATATAGTTGGTGTAAGACAAAGGACGCAGAAGTGGGACGCTAAGGACCTGAGTCCTAATCCCAGCTGAGCTGTTGTCGATTCAAGAAAGCCACTTTCTTGTGTGACAGACTCAGTTTTCTCACCTGTAAAATGAACTGAGACAAACTGGCCAGATAATTCTTCGAGATTTCTTTCAATTCAGGCACTCGTTAACTTTCTGATTTTATCCTGTAAGTTATTTCCCTCAATTTTGTAAA